GACTCTAATGTGCTTGGCTCCTTGGTTCTCTGTGATGATTATCAGTGGATCCCTGTCCCTCCGTTTTTTCTCTCAATTCTTACTATTGCTCCATTCTCCTCTTCATCACTCCTTCATCACTGACCCAGGTCTCATCTGTAAACATAAGGCAAGTGTATTTTGACACGTCTGCTTTGCAACAAGTTGTCAAACCAAGACCAGAAGGAGTATTGTTGTTCTTATAAACTTGCTTGTTTACATTTTCTACGGGGAGATTTTCCCATAACTTCCCGACAGTAAAACATCTACCTGGATCCAGTGATTACCTCAGGATTTGAGACCTGAATAAGACTAAGGTGAGGGCAAAGGTTACATTTGAGTAAATTAGATTAAACTTTGACAAAAAAAAGATCATTCTATGTGCATTAGGAACACTTTAAGTACATGTGGAATTAAAAGTTCACCTTCATACTAATGTCGTCTAGAGGTACGTTTTTTACATTTTGATGACTCTGCACCTTCAAGGTTCAGTTCTTCACATGCATTCCATTGCTTAAATATATTTCAAAACTCTGCTATGTCAAAATGGGACAGCGCAGTGAACAAGCGAAAATATAAAAATAGCACTCCTGTGTTAAAAGGGAAGCTAAGCATAAAGAGGAAGTAGCTTCTTCCCCCCCCCCCCCCCCCCCCCGTTTTTAAGCAGGAGAGGCGTATTAGAGCAGCCGTTAGTGGGTGATACATTTCCCAGACTCATCTTATGCTGGTGAAAATTATATAGTAGTGCCCCTGAAAGTTCTCAGCTTGCCCGTAAAAGCAAAGGAAGCTGCAAACAGGGAATAGGAAGGGATTAATAAAAACCAGAGAGGCTGAAAGACTGAACTAATATCTGAAATGAAAGAACGTTGGTTTAAGAAGCATAATACAGACAGAAGGAATGGTGCAAGAGTCGCATCCAGTGTTACAACATGAAAAGAAACCACTGCCATGCAGCCACAGCTTAACTCCACCATCTGAGAGCCCGCAGAGCACTTTAATAATAAGCCAAATTATTTTTGATGGATTTTGGACGAAAAGAGAAATCCAGCTGTCAAAAGCTTCAGCAAAAGAATGTTGCTTTGTATGCTTGTGCGAATGATACAAATAAATTTAGTGTTTTTTGCTTTCTGACAAATATTGTCACTAAAAAGAGAAGCAATTAATTTTGCCAAATTTAAATCGAAATTTTAAAGTGCAGGTGAATCTATAAAAGCATGCAATATTACACCACTTGGCACCTTGTGGATCACTGCTATTAAAGATAAGAAAGCTGAACAGCTTTTTAAGAAAGATGAAGTCTGGTAAAGATTTGTCCACTATAAACACTGATTTAATATTTAAATTACTCTCTGGTTAAAACTAGAAGCTTTTATTTCTTTCTGCCCCAAGTTGTGTAAAATTCTAATTAACGCATTAATTAATGTCAAAAATAGACCTAACCCCAACTTACACTGCAGCTCTGTATGAACTCCACAATAATTACGTAGCATTATAGCCAATGAAAGCTTTTACACTGCCTCCGCAGGGCAGTGCAGGGCCACACCTTGTGCACAGCCATCCTCTGAAGTTTAACCAGAGTTTATTTTGCAGGATGCTGGAAAGAGTTTAGAGTCACCCTACAGACCAAACTGCACCAACAGAAAACAGAATGAGGAGAGCATATGTATTCACGAAATAATTCACTAAAGAAAGGCTCTACATTAACCAATATACTTGGATATTTATACATTTATCTTAATTAATCATTCATGGTTATGCATCATAGAAATATTAAATGCACAGAAATTAGCCGGAACAAAAAACTATTGTAGCATAAAACTCATCTAGATGAAAAACAAAGAGCCAAGCCGTTTTAAATGCTGCTTAATGTCTGTCTTCCCATTTTTTTTGGTCTCACTTAAGCATTTATTATCGCCTTTTATCGCGCCATCATGTGATTGCGCATGCCTATCGGCACATTTCTGGGCTAATCAGTGAAGCAATGCAGATAAGAGTGTTGCAAATGTAATTCCGGACTGAGAAGAACAGTGGAAAAAAGTGAGAAGGGGTGTTAATCTGTGTCAGTGACTTTCAGGGCCTTTTGTGGTAACAAAAAACTATGGTGTTGTGTGTAATCAATATACGTATATATGATAAGAAATTCCATAGTAATCAACAGTTTAATCTAGTGGCTTTATTGGCGTTAAATAAAAGTGGCTCACAAATAGAGCCTTGAGGACCTCCAAATGGGATATTTTCTTAGGTCTGCCAGGTAAGATTGCTTTCCATTAGGGACGATTTTAGGATCAGAGGTTTATGGGTGCTGAACACCAAGAGAGCTGACTGGCCAGACAAGATTAATTTCACTGTTTCTACACATATTTAAAAAAACTTTTTCAGTGCATTTTGCTAATAACTGACTCCATCATTCACTAATGTATCTGAGACCTGTGCCAAACATCTAACAAGCAAAGCAAAAAGCAGCATTTTATAGAAGAATATTCCAATCAATTAAAGTGTTTAAATCAACTCATTTCATGGAAACCTTTGAATCAGTTTTCATGAAAGTAGTTTTCTCTTTTGTGTGCCAAAAGTCCTTCCATGATATATGTAAAATAATCTACTGAGTTAAACGTTTTTTTTTTTTTGCCAGTCTGTTTTCTTACCTGTTTTTTTCCTGACCTTTCACTTTGCATACACCTTGCTCCTCTGCTCCCGCTTCTACACCTCTCCCTCTTTAGAATGGCAATCATAAAATGGATTATAAATTCAAATAACTAGAAACTGGAAAAAAAAATGATAACAATTTACCAATAAGGTTTTAAAGATAATCAAACAAACCAATCTCAGACACATTAGAGCCCCTCGCTGATGGACATTTCACCAACACACCATCAATAGGTGCAGAAATCTGACTGAACATTTCAGAAAACACCTGAATGCAGCATTTTCCTCAAAGCATTGGTCAACATTTTGGGTAAGGAGGTCCCTTAGGCTTGTATTCTTTATTTTTGTTTGTTTATTATCATTATTTCTGAAGAACCAGAACATAATTGAAGGGGTTAAATAGCCAAATACTGTATTGTTTTTACAATGTCAATTTTTTTATTGTTTTTTTTATTATTATTATTGTCAAAAGTGCATAAACTATACAGTAAGCAACTCATATTATAGGGGTGCTTTTATTCAAATTAGGCTTGCTTCAGCACCCCGAAAAATAGACTAAAAACGCCTATGCTTGCCATTTATAATTTTTAATAACTTCCATCAGAATTGCAAAAAGCAAATGCAGTGTAGTTTATCATATTTAGAAATGTTATGGACTGACTATGAAACGCGTATCCATTATCCTGTCTTTTATGGCAGACAATATTAAAAAGGGAAATCCTATGAATGTTTTGTCTGGGAACAGAGATCACTGTTGCAGTTTGTGTATCCACAGAGCAGCAGATGGGTCATTCAAGCATGATTATCTTTTTGCAAGGAGGGGGGGACTCTTGCTGGCAGAGGTGGAGATTATGCTGTGTGGTCTAGAAGCCAAAATAATCACTCCATCATCTCTGGCTAAGTTTATTATGCTACAGAAATCTACCAAAAACATTTGGTTGGGTTTGTTCAAGACAAAAAAAAAAGTGTTAATCTTTGTGAGGCAAAGAGGAATTTTCCAAACTCACCACAGCAACAGTTTGAAGTTCCTATTTTACTGCTTTTTTTTTTAAAACCATCTCTACTGCTCTATGCTTCCCTTGTTCCCCTTTTGACTGCCCGTTGAACACTTAAAGGGGCCTACTTTTGTGCAAAGCTGCTTACAGTTTCCTTTAGCATAGACAGGATAGTATAGGGGTATTTCTGCAAGCAATCCCTCTCCCTCTCTCAACCTTAATTAGGCCACCCACATGCACAGTCATGAGCCTCACATGTTTTCCTTGTAACATTTTCAGACTGTGTATACAGAAAACACATAATGATTGGCAGAAATGTGTGAAAACAATAAGCCTGGAAACATGCTTACGTGCCGCCCCAAGTGTTTCTTATTTTGTTGTGATTCTTTTTTTGTCAATCATCCATTCATATATATATAGCAAAATAAATGTAGTCTATGTTTGGAGAGATCTGTAGGAAATAAAGCAGGATGAAATGAAATAAACAATGTGACTTACAAAATGCTTTGTAATAATACCAATTGAATAATAATTTAGCTTTATTGAAATGTATCTCTGCATCTAACCCATCATTTTGCACGTCCTAGGACAGAGTTTGTTTATTATAGGATGGTATCAGACTTGAATGAGTTGATTTCTATTTGGGGAGGTTGAGATGTTTTATGTCGTGTAAATAAGGAAATGCTTACTCTCAGTTTTTCAGGGGGTTGATTTATTTATTTTGTTTTTTTTCTTTTGGGTTGTTGTATATGAGTACATGTATGTAATTTACTTCTGTTTAATGTAATTGTATCTATCTATCTATCCATCTATGTAGACTTAGATGTATTTGTCATTTTGTTTACGCAAGTGTAAAACAAAAAGAAATTTCGTTTAGAAAAGCTCTGCACAGTTTCATTTCTTTTTAAGTGCAGCCTTGAAAAATAGTAAAAATATATAGAAACAGTAATATACACATGCCTGTAAATTTAAAGTTCTAACATTTCAGGTTTTTTATCTATCTATCTATCTATCTATCTATCTATCTATCTATCTATCTATCTATCTATCTATCTATCTATCTATCTATCTATCTATCTATCTATCTATCTATCTATCTATCTATCTATCTATCTATCTATCTATCTATCTATCTATCTATCTATCTATCTATCTATCGTGTAAACTTCTGAACTATTAAGTTATGTAATTTCTGTTTCATGTTCCTCTTGATAGAGGGGCTGTGTTGGCTCTTGCGGGAATCTTATTGGTCCAATCGTATGACCCCATAGATTGACAGGAATTCCATCCAATAAGGTGCGGCGGCTGGTCCCGCCCCTCCTCGGCCACTAGGGCGACATTGAAGGGAACATTTGTTCGGGACGGGGAGCTGCGCCGTTATGTCGCCTGGCTGCTTATGTGTGTCGTAACACTTTGTTCTAGTCATTAAATCGGATTTAGACCGTCGCTGGGAACCCACCGTTTTTAGCTGGGCAGGTAAAGGATGTGTTCGGGGCTGCATTCGCTGATAGTTTTTCAAAGTTAAAAGCCATTTTCCGTGAAGAGAAGAAGACTCTGAGATCGTCTGAGGAGCTTCTCTCACTCGGTAAGATACTGCTGCTCAAACTCCTCAAGTTAACTAGCTAAAAAAAAAGTAACGCCTGATTCTTATCTAAAGCAAGTTGTTAATATGTATACCATTCATGTAGCTACTTTCAATTACTTGGAAAATAGTTATTTTTAACATTATACTTTCTTTTTTACTGTTAGGAATCTTTTTTCCTCCTTTTCATATTTCGTGTACATTCAGCTAATTCGGCTAACTCCTCCTTCAACGGTTTTTGTCAGGCTGTATCCTTAAGGCTCAAGTTTGTCTCTGCTACATTTAGCTAACTTTCATCCTAGTTATCTGTGGCAAAGAGAGGCTTTTCCAGTAATGAGGCACATGTTAGAGAAACTATGTGCTAAATGTTTGCTGCGCAGCCCTGCATGCCACAAACGGTGAAGAGGTGCCATTACGGTAATAATACAGTCTGGAGCAGTGAATCATTTACTTTTAAGACGGTTATTTTACTTCCCTGACGATAAGGGCTGCCCTGAAGACACCACAGCTACACTATAAACATGATTGCCTGGAAATGTAAAAGTTTGAAACTTTTATTTCCTGTTTTTATGTATTATTTGATCCCATCTAACATGGTGCAGGCAATGTAAACAAAGAAAAGACACTTCTCTTCCTTCTTTGCCCGTGGGACGCATATGCAAATGAGACAAAACAGAACATTTGCATAGAACATTTTGTACAACTTTTGATCCCATAAATATACACGCTACTACTTCCCCTGCTTATGTTGTGAACCTGAGATAATGCATGTATTAATTTCTTAATTGGTGCATTTTACAGGAAACTCTATAACATCCAAACATTTAAGAAAATAACTGTTATTAGATAATAAACAAAGAATAGTCACCTCAACACCTCTTTAAGTGCAAGTACTTCTCAAAGTTGATTATTCCTCTACCAAAAAGGTAATATAGTTTGCTCTAATATCCCTTTGTTTATCATCCTATAAATATTTGTCAGTTTCCAACCTTATAACACAGTTGCAAATTGAAACTCTACCAACAGTAGGTAGTATATAATTTAGCAAGTTAGTAAATCATCCACATAACCGCAAAATTCCAAAATTTCGGAAGTTATTCCTTGCCATACTCTAAAGGGATATTAGTTTTCCCTGATTTAAGCATGAAAAGTCCAAGGCAGGAGTATCCCTTCCCTACCCCCACCTGTTGCTGGCTGAAAGAAGGCTCCTTTGCTTTTTTGTTACTGTTAAAAGAAACTGATGCTTATATGACGTGTGTGTGTATGTGTGTATATAAGTTTAAACAGGAAAACAAAAAAAAGGTTTAAACAGGAAAACAAAAAGAAGTCCATTTGTCTGGTCTAATTATCAGCAGGGTCATCAATCAGAACAGCTACGTCCAGATGTTTCAGCATTTGAATGTTGTTTAGATTTGGAGCTGATTCCAAGAGTCACTGGGACAAAATTTGATAGCTTATTTAGTAAAAGCTCTCAACATAACTGAAACCATTTACGAGACTGACTCTGGTAACTTCCTGGACTTGTTGGATATTTTTTGCTCATTCTATTACAGGTTATGATATCACTTGAACTTAAATCAGAACAAGCATACTGCGGCTACATCTGCCTCTTTAATCAACAGTCATATGGTTTCTTAACATGGATTTTGCTACGTTGCATGCAGGACTCTTGTGCAGTGTGATGATCATGGCCTCTCCTCTCAACTTACAGGTCTTGATAAGAAAGCTATTCATCGCAGCTGCAGGCCATTTGCTGATGGGTACATACTGTGGAGAGGCACACAAGGAGCGCAGGGAAGCGTCGACACAAAACTGGAACTGTGAAAGAATGAAGACAAGCTAGATACCTTTCCTCGCCATTAAACCTTTGATCATTAAAAAAAACAGTTACTGAAGCTCATCTTTGAGAAAGGGTCTTAAACAAAACACAATAACTGAGCCCTTTCAAAATGAGTGTAGAAGGATATCAGTACAGAGCGCTTTATGAATACAAGAAAGAGAGGGAGGAAGATATTGATCTACATGTGGGGGACATCCTGTTGGTAAGCAAGGGAGCTCTGGTGGCTCTCGGCTACAGCGACGGCCTGGAACAGCAGCCGCAGAAGATTGGTTGGCTACCGGGTTTTAACGAGACCACGCAGGAAAAAGGGGACTTTCCAGGGACTTATGTAGAGTACGTCGGGAAGAAATGGATCTCACCTCCAACACCCAAGCCCAGGCCCCTCAGACCCTTACCTCTAGCTCCAGGAAACTTCAAAGGAGACGCAGATTCTGATTCAGATCAAGGTGAGTTTCTCTTTTAAGATGCAGAAGAGCGGAAACTTGAACTTTAGCATAAATTGGTATTTAGCTTCACCAAAACAGAACCTAACTCAGATCTCGGTGAATAATGGAGTCTGTGTGTATTCACGGTACAGTTAGAAAACCTGTCGGTATACAGTATATGGCCCGGTGGATATCATCTGTTATCCTTCTCGATCATGGAGGATTGGAATGTCCATATCAGCCTGAAGGCAAATCCTTAGATTTGTGGATCTAGACATGTTGGGGCAAGATTCTTTTGCTGCTATTAAAGCTGTAGGTTTTTTTTTAGGTAGGTTTCTAGCAGCTTTAAAAAGACAAAGAATGGAATTGTGGTTGATGCTTGTTTTCAAAGTAAAATAACTCAAGTCACATTTGAAGGAAAACCTTTGAACAATGACTTTTAAAGTCTTGACACAAGTTCTTAGTTGAGTTTAGGTCTGTGTTTAGATTTCTCCACAGCATGAGGCCGCCACCACCATGTTTCATCAGAGGGATGCTTTGTGAGGAAGCTGTGGAGAGTTTTTACTGTGGTCTAAAGTTAATTTTGGTCTACTCTGACCTGAGGACATTAATACAGTTGGTACAACGGATGGTGTGTTATGATTAGTTAACAGTCCTTTAGTCAAACTAAATTTAGAAAAGGAGAAAAAATGCCTTGGTTGTCCCACAGTGGGGAAATTCTGGTGTGACAGGACTTGGTTATTCTCTGAGGCACTCGTTATATAATGTAGAATATTAATGCAGACGTTGGTGATTATAGAAGTTGTTAGGAGTTTGACAAAAAACATGCATGAAGCAGAATTAACAGTTCTAATGACAGAAAAATCCAACCAATAATAATTTATTTAGTAATACGTAGTTTGCTTCAGATACAGTAGGGTTATGGTTTGCTTGGTTTTGTTTGTGCAAAGCACAGAAACTTTAAAATGAAAAAAATGTGAAAAGCTTGGGAGTTTTTCTTTTTTTCCTTTTGGAGGAAAATAAAGCGAAATAGTGTACAGAGTGTCTATTGTTAAACTGAATTAGTCCCTATCACAACAACACAATGTCTCTGATTCAGCATCTTAGGAGAAAGCAGCCTCTGTTGTGCATTCAGTCCACCAAAACCAAAACGGCTCGTGTTTAGCTTCACTTTTCTACCTTATTGTTCAGTTTCTTATCTGATTACAGTTTTGTTTTTTGGGAAGAGGGGGGGCTCTATAAATATTTTTCTTCAAAATTTTATCTAAGAACAAATATATATTCCTTAGGCCTTAGTTGAGATATTTGTCCCGTAATGTGACGTGAGACGAGGTTTTTCTGGCTCATTACGAATCCTTTGAAATCTCAGCCCAGGCCACAGCTATGAAGCGCAATTAAAACTCGCCTCTGTTTTGATGAGGCAGAGGCTCGCACGGACTCGCACTCAAACCCTGCCCGCGCGCCTAAAGAGCTGCCGGGCCTGCAAGGTTTCCAGTTTCTTCTCTTTGTGGTGTGATTGTGAAATTCTTTGCTGCGGTTTGCTGGGTGAGCCAGGGGCTGCGGGGGGGTTAATGGCTGTGTCGTGGTTGAGGGGCAGCAGGGCTGAGCCTGGAGCGAGTGGGAATATAGCGTAGAGAGAAGAAAAGTCTCTGTGTCCTGGACTGTGGGAGATGGGGGGGGTCGCCCTGGGGTTGTGGGGAAAAGAGCATGTGCTCTTGTGCTAACTGGAGAGATGGTTGGGATACTGTGTGCAGGGATCAGTGCTGGGGCAGAGCAGGGGGCTTGGCAAAGGGGCTGAAGCAGGGGATAGGGTAGACGGAGGGGGCTATGGGAGGAACCAGGCCTGTCCATGCTCAAGGGGCTTTGAAGAGGGTCTTGTTGCTCCCAGAGTGTTTGTGATTTATTGCCCACCACTGAGGGATCCAACTCCCTTCCTCCTACACCAAAGCCCCCCTTTTTTTCTTCTTCTTCTTCCCTCTCCCTTTTTTTTTATGTTTTGATAGTTCCTACAGTCAGCTCTGCGAGGGCAGAGAAGGTGGAGAATTGAGGCTTAGAAAGGGGCCTCTCTTCTTTGAGCCATGGGGGGAGGAGAGAGGTTTACATGAGTGCAGCAGATGTGGAGAGAGAAGAGGGCAGGGCTGGGAAACTATTCCGGCTCATTCCTGCTTGCTCCTTCTTTTTCTTTTTTTTTCTTTCTTTTTTTTAGAAACATTAAAGTGTTGCTCCTTTGCTGGGCCTCTAAGCTAAGACAACATACAGTACATGTGTTTGGGCCCGCCAAGTGCAAGGAACACGGTAACGTTGGGGTCACATGCAAGCATTGGGAAAAACTGATAACAAATCTTTTTTTTTTCTTCAAGAAACACTTTAAAGTGGAGTTTAGTTTTTCCAGCATTTAACTATGTTTTAATTGTTTAATTAACCTTCATACTTTGAGTGTTTCATGGAGCCACTGCGACGCAACGCTTGTCTTAATGCCGGAGGAAAGTGAGAAGGGTTGCTTGTTCCTCTGCATGCTCAGTCTTGTTCCAAGAAATATTTGATGCCTGCAGACGATTTGCACACTGCGCCGTATTGCGAAGCATTTCACTATCTCATAGCACTGTATGTTGATGATGGCTTTCTAATAAAATACAGCTTTTTTTTCTTTTGTTTTTTTCTTTTGTTTTTAAGATTTAATATAATTGGATGGAATGATGGGTCTGTGCAGTAGGGACAGATCAGGGAAAGTGCTCCACATAGCTTGAGATTGAGATAATGCAGCTCTCCTTTTCTGGGCCTCTTTAGCATCCAGCCTGACTTCTGCCCTATTTAAGGCTTTTTATGTCTGTTACCCATTAAAAAATCTAGTAAAATGGTGTTTAGTAATTGTGGCAGAGGATTTATTACTTGTCCCCATTGGGGGAAAAAAACTAAACAAAAAGGCTGCTATCATCCAGATCAGCAGATTGACCTCAGCAGATGTTGATCATCTGCTCTGATCAATAATTTTTTTTCAGTTTTCAGTAATGCATTGGTGCCTCAGACTCCACGGCAGACTGATGTGTGGCTCTGTGACGAATCAGTATTGTGCTAAGTGTTGATTACAGTACAGCACAATGCAACCAGACAATAAAGTGGAAGCATGCTAACTCGCACCACTCTGTCTGCCACTTTTACGCTGTCTGATAATAGATCGTACAGATGTGTTTTTTTATATATTGCTTATATTATTCATTTGATATAAAATCTTTGGTAAATATTTCATGAAATCCTAGTGGTAATAATATTAACCTGCGTTCTGCGCAGCTGGTGATGCTGCACTCTAACGGGGTAAGAAAGTCATTATTTTTCCGAAATCTGATTATAAAAACGGGTGATTATTAAACCAATGTCTTATTGTTGTTATTATGGCAGTAATTGCATCAGGAGATTATTCTTTAACAATATCATGGGTTATAAGTGGCTTCATCCACTGTGCTTTATATGCTAACACCATCACACCCTCATCAATTTGCTCTTTTGTTTGCTTCTAGGAACTTTAACACAAAGACCTGTTTGAGTTGAACTGCTGTCCTTCCCAGTAATGTAATTTAAAAACTCTATAAGATCTACACTGAAATTCAATATTTTGTTCCTCCCAGCAAATTGCATTAGTGTGCAAATCCGCTGGGATTTGTAAGGAATTGCGTGCACGGGACCACGCATAGCTGCTCCATCACCTGATTTTGTGTAAAGAATGACGTCTGGATTGGAAAATCTTCTTTACTGGAGTTTGTCAAAGTCGGTGAGGAGGATTAAGAAAGAGAGCAAGGAAATAAACCCCAGAGAGTGGAGTGGTTGACCAGAAGGAGTGCAATGGGAGAGAGGCAAGATCAGAGCAAGACAATGATTAATGCTGTGTGTTGAAACTGAGACACATTACATAAATAGCATTTAAACATGGAAAATCTGCGGCAAATTTTAAAGCGTTTTATTTCCTTCCTCTGTCGGCTCATTGTGCTTCACAGTTCTCCTGAATGCACAGGCTTGTACCCATTAAAGCGCATGAACAGCTCAGCGGGGGGAAACTACGAGCAGTTACAGCTCACCCCATCAGCATAGCTTTAAGGAAGCAGTTGCATATCTTAAAACCGTTGTGGTCAAACAAACTTCTAGATTATAGCCCCATAAGTTGCTGCAGACTTGTAAAAAAAAAAGAAAAGATGGTATCTCATCTGAAGCGCACTAAAGTATTCACTTATGGACCAGATGGGCTTATAAACCTGCAAATAAATATTTAAAAATGTGTTTCTTGTTTTAATTGTTAAGCTTGTAAAGTCACAACCTGTCACTGTTGGACCTGTTAACAGGATGCATTAAAATCACTGCACACTGTCCAGTGAAAATGAGACGCATAACTTATTATCCTATTGCTTGTAGGTTTGATTTTTTTTTTTATCTCCTCTATCCGTTTTAATTAAAGTCTTTTATGGCAGATTGCTCAGTAGAAAAGTACTCTTTATTGTTGTTTTATTTTTTAAAGTCACACCAGGCCTATCCCTCATAAAGGGTTAAATTTCAGGCTCTAGCAACAGTCCTCTCATTGGCTCTTGCTTTACACCTGCATTGCCTCTTCCTTCCAGCAGGAGGAGACATTGTCTGCTTTTTTCCCCTACTGTGGTTCAAAGCTGCATCTTTTTTTTGTCTTATAAATCAGTTGTGATAAAGCCTCTCCTCAGTAATGCTTATACATAGGTCTTGTTGTAGGTCGTCTAATCTGTTACATTCACCCTCTGATTCAAACCTCATCCAGACAGAGAAATACTGTAACCTGAAAACGGTAGTTACCAGAGCAGACTCTCTAAATATATCCAAATAGCAGGCTATCTTTACAGATATTCCCCAGTCCCGTCCTGCCCACAGTCTACATTTCGTTCGTTGCAGACATGCCATTTGAGCCGGTGAGATTGTTGCCCCCCCCCCCACAACTCACCACAAACACACTGAAGCTCTACCAGTGGCAGCTGCAAAGCCCTCCGTACCCCAGTGTTTGTCTGACTGCGTACTGATTGACTGAGGCCTCACTGCAAGCTGCCAACCATGCAAACCTGTAGCAGCATGTTTATGAGGCCACTGTCTCCTCGCTATTCTTTTCCAGGTTGCCACAGATACCGTCTTTCTTAGAAAAGTAAATAAAATTTTACAGTCTTCTGCCATGCAACTATTCGAACGTCTGTATATATATATAAAAAAAAATGTTTTTATGCAAACATAACTTTTATGTTGGATTTAATCTTCCTTTTGTGTGGATTTTACCCAACTTGTTTATTTGGGTTAATTTCTAAAGCACTATAACTCACATTAAATGTCATCTCAAACACTATACCAGGCAAACGGGTCACATTAATATCCATTATACAGAGATATAGGATGAAACCAATCCAGCTCATACCATTGCAGCCTGATCTCATAGATGGCTCGAAATTAAATTACATAAAATGATTCAATCTATAATTGAGCAGATATTGTCAGTTGTTAAATAAGTAATCTATTTAAGGAAGTCCAGCTGATTGAAGCCCCACCCCTCCACAAGGATCTGCCAACAGTTGACCCATATAAGCAAACCGTAATAAAAATGATTAAAACGGTTGTATCCATCGCGGTTGAATTATTACGACAGGAGAACGACCATCCTCGTTTTGCCAAAATAATTACCGAGCTCCAAATGAACACATCAGATTCATCCTTTTTATTACCGTTGGATATGTTGATAACGTCTGCTAGGGCATCTGAGGAATCGGCGCTGATGGCTCCAAGCATGTCCGCCATATTTTGTTCGATACTCTATACATTTCCATCGGCGCCAAAACTGTCACGTCGTTGACAGTACTAAGAAGCAACTCTATCTAGTCCGCGCCGGTGTCACTCATATGCCTGGTCACTGACACAGCCCATAAACATTAGACCCTGGTTCACTTTGAAGATACGTCTTGTTGTGGCAGTTATCGGCCAGCTGTCAGAGAAATCCCACAGGATGCTCTTAGGTGCGTGGAAATGTACGTCAAATTCCCAGAATTTTTCTAGAGAGCAGCATCTAGTACGTGGAATGGAAAGCTTGATACCTGCTACATGCGGAGTGGATGTTTTTGCAGTTTGATTTATGATTTTTATGGGTTTGATCTGTGAAAAAGCAGGTGGGTAGGGTTTCATTTTACCCCTGATAGTAAGCAGCGTTTCTCAGAAAATGGGTTGGCCGTCGGACGAAATCCGTGTTGGATGTCTTGTCATGGAGAAAGCTTAGACTTCTAAGGTGAGAGATGGCAGCACCGCGTGTCTCCATCTTTATTTAGGGAAACTTTGCTCCGTCTCAAAGTTAGCTACTTCTCAGAACCACCTCGTCCCTCTGGGTTTGCATTTCCAGTAATGTCTTCCAGATGACCACTTGTCCTCCGTGAAAGTTTGTGTGTTGTGTGGTCAGGAGGACTTAAGTAATCCTGTTTCTTCACACGCAGCATGGCAGCCGGAGCGGTGCACCGGTTGGAGGATGTGGATTCGGTCGAGGCCGTTCATTATTCGCCTGATTGAACCGTGTTTGGCGGAAGCGGGCAGCAATGTTAATTATCATGCATTACTGAGAGCTGCACTTGTTTAGTTTAATAGCCGATGTTTAAAATAGTAAAACATTTTTTTTCTTTTTAAGGCGAAGGCAGAAAGGAAAATATAGTTTATTGAAAGGCTCCATTCATGGGCCTGAAGTCTCATGATGGAACAGTTGAACCTTTTAGAAAAAAAAAAACTTTTCAAAATACCCCTTTACAAATTCAAATAAAATCGCTGCCAAATCCTCCTCCTTTCATGTCCACACCTGGCTGCAGAGTTCTAAAGGCAAAATAAGTAAGGAGGAACAAAAATACCGTGGACCTGGCCAACCTCATGTCACAGGATATTTGCTTGGTTCCTTCAGTGCTCTGCTCCTCCTGTTCTTGAATCGCACTTTTCTTTTCCTCTTTGAAAGCGGTTCTTTGGTCATGTACCTGCTGCCTTTGAAGCTCCGAGTGGTCCGTTGGTCAAACACTCAATCAGGCTCAGATGAATTGCTGCCATCTGTGATTTAGGAGTTTGTTTAAAATGTAAAAAAATGTTGATTTCTTAAAGTAATTACACTGTAACTCTGCAATAAAGTTTTGTTAGCTCAGTTGACCCAACACAGTGCTTTAGAAACGTAATCATTCAAACTCTGCAGTTACTTTTTCTAGTGAAATCCCCTGAGAACGTTTGGGGTTTCAGTCAGAAAGAAATTAGTTGTACTCAAACCTATAACCACAAACTTCGATGTATTTTGGGGGGATTTTACACAACAGACAAAAAGAGAAAGAAGAGCATTTTTTAGAGAAGTAGGAGAACCTGCTCATGTGGGAGTCTGTTGATGGGACAACTAAAGGGTATGCTTTATGCAAATCTGGCCTTTTTGGCTAAAGAGAGAGCTGTTGTTAAATAGTCAGCGAACACATGCATTACACTAATCACATGCAATAGGAGGGCACACAAAATTAGATTGTCTCATTTACCAATTATTAGGAAGCCGCCTGCTTTAATAAGGACCTCTGTTGACTTTGGTCTCCTCAGGTGTCTGTTTAATGGACTTGACGGAGCAGTTTTTCCTCCCAGAGACCGCTCCACCCTTGCTGACCCGACTGCTGGAAGCTATCGAGAGGAAAGGTGAGGCTTACATGTTAAGAAGACAACCTGTCTACCTTTATATCCTGCTTAATTTGCTCGCCAATTAGCGGTTTAACAGAACCACATGACATGAGGTCTGTGTGCTCTTTCATAGGTGTGGATAACCCAACTCTGTATCGAACATTCACTGCTGGAGGTGGACATGAAGTCAGACAGTATTATGATTGTGGTAAGAAGCTTGTTTTTATTTTTATTTCCAGTCTTGGGTTCTAATCAGCTAGTGTGAACCTTGTAAGTTTCCAGTGAGTGAGGCTAGTACATGCAGAGGAAGTTTCAGAAAAGAAAGGGGTTAGGTTTGCACATACATGACGTTACTAACACAAAGAACTGTGGTTTTCCCACAAATGAGCATGTCTGCAGGCTGAAAACGAGCATTGTGATGCGTTTCAGATCCTCCCGCTGCAGAGCTGGACCAGTTGGAGCTCTCTGCCCTGTGCGACGGTCTGCGTAGGTACCTGCAGGATCTCCCTCAGCCCATTATCCCAGCTGCCGTCCATGCTCAGATGATCCACACGGCCAAAGGTAGGTGCCACCAAACAGGTTTAGTGATCATTTATGTACAGGGTTTAATATAGAATTGCTGACGTAATGTACCCTCCCCGACTGTACATCACGTTCTGTTAGCAGAAAACCACAAAAGCTTGTCTTTGCCCTCCCCTCTTCCATTCTAACTTTTTTTTTTTATAAATCTTTTCTTAGATGTTCTGAGAGCAAAGCATGCAATGGACATGTTTTGCATACTTTTAGACAGATTTTTTTTTTTTTTTTACTTTTTTGTGAGCAAAGGCGGAAAAAAAAGTCACCTCCCTGTGTTCTGCTGCTCTGCATTCTCTTGCTGTCACATGGCCAGAAACAGGATATCTGTGGTTAATAGGAACTAAAACAAGCCTGAAAGTTTATCTCTGCCATCTCCAAGCAGCCAATCACCTGCTAGTGTACCTTACACTCATTCTCAACCACACAATCTCTCAGCGGTTTTCAAGACAAAAAAACTGCATGACTTATTTTTCCATCTCCTTGTTTGAAGAACACGCTTTCATTTCATGCCGCTCGTCTTCCGAAGCAGATCTGTGCTGAGCGTTTCATCCATCTGACCCAAAGCCTGCTCTTCATCTTTTCCAACAGAGGTGGTGAACCCCGAGGAATGCGCCCAGCTGCTACGCCGCATCGCCAGCTCTCCGACCCTGCCGCCCCAGTACTGGCTCACTCTCCAGTGTCTGCTCAGGCACTTTGCTAGAGTGTGCCAGAACGGGTCCAAGAACCTCCTCACTGCCAGATCGCTTGGCGAGATCTTCAGCCCCGTGCTTTTTAGACAGCAACCCACCAGGTGAATATCGGAGCAGAGTGGGCTCACACATTGCTGCTAGATGCTGGGGTTTGTCAAATATAGATAGACTGCAGACAGACAGGCTCAGTCATGTAATACTGACAGATTCAAATGCATGCACATAGCAGCCTGCCAGGCTAGTGGTGGATTTTAGCCTTAAGCAAACATAGGTTGCAGCTTTTCTTCTTAGCTCTTGCAATTTAAGTAGCTAAGCCTGAATTACTATCAGATTGAAACTAGAGCGGCAGAAAGCACCGCTCAGACTGTGCAACCTTTAACTTGCCATTTTCTGTCTTTTCTCACCTCCTACAGTTGTGAACCCAGTCTGGATGCTTTCATCAAGATCATCGAGGTTCTGGTGACCAGCGAGTGGAGTGAAAGTCAGGCTGCTCCAGGTAGCTGCTCTCCCTCTTTCTCACATGTCATCCATCATTTACAAAGATCTATCCGATGCAACATTGCTTTACTTTGCATCGCTGCTTTTAGAGGGGAACCTTTAGAGATCTGTGCATTATTAATCAGTGGGTGCAGAAAATGAACGTTAAGCTCCTGCAGGGAAGTAAACTGCTGCACAACTCAGACTGAGAGTTGTGCTATTATTAGCTCAACTTTAGGCGTTTTGACTTGCAACTGCAGAAGTTGCAAATCTCAACTTCTAGATTTATTTCAATGCAGAGGGGTAATATTATATAGGATGCAGTTTTGAAACTGGAAAAATGTGTACATTTCCATGAAACCTTTGATCCTAAAGGTGGTTTATTAATATAATTTTTGGTTTATATACCAAACAGGGTATTTAAACCTGCATATTCTTTAACCAGGACAAAAGTCTCTTTTATTTTCTTTACCCAGTAATTCTAGATTTTTGCATGTTGAATAATTCAGTTTAGATTTTGCTAACTGTAAACAATGTTTACCTTTAGTTGAACCTAATGAGTTGGTTCTGAAGTCAAAAAAGGCAGGTGGGTAGTCTCCAATCAGGGACTAAATTTAGCAGGATGCTGTTTGAGTATTTACAAAACTTAGATAAAAACAACCCAACATTGTCAGTGCTTCTCAGGTTTCTATGATGGTGTAAAGTGTGTCAAAGTAAACTTTTTTGCATCGGGATGGAGTCAAATTTGAGTTGGTAGACTTTATTTGGCAAGGCAGAATGGGGGCTTTGTTTTTGTTTGAAAGTAGTTTCAGTAATGCGTCATTGCAAAGTGAAATTTGCATTTGCTCGATGTCCTGTTTTTTTTTTTTTTTTTTTTTTTTTTTTTTTTTGACTGGATTAGACCAGTATGCAGCCTGTTCGGAGATATTGTGGTTTTTTTCTGGGTGTATTCTCTCATGGCTGGCCTTATACACTGGAAACAGAGGTTAGTTTCAAAGCTGTCTACGGTGGTCTGCTTAAGAGCTGCTCTGGTAGGAGGCTGCAATGTGTTGCGTGTGACACGTCTGTTTTTACAGGGCTTGTTAAAAGCACAGTTGTTGGCTCGCCCACGGGCCACAGCCTGACCGTAGCTGTTTAAACATTTTTATTACCTGTTGGCGCTATTTATAACGCTGCTGTTCTTTGACTGCTCTCAGCTTTTGGTAATTTGCACCTGTAAGAACACTTTAGTGGACGGAGGCACTAAACTTTTTTAGAACAATTTCCAGTAGAAAAGTTTTCATTTGGGGAAAGAAAAGCACAAAAGAAAAAGTTCAGATATCATTCTTAGTCTTAAAAGTCACAAGTAAAGCCCATTTTAAAACAAAACAAAAAAAGATGGAGATACTTTACATTTTAGAAAGAAAAAGGAATTAAACTGCTTATATTTCAAATGGATAAGGTCTCCTGCAGCTGAAATATTCACATATGGATCATTATCATATCAGTCATGATAAGCATCTAGTTATCTACCATCTTTTCACATAGATAATATATTGAGAACAAATGCAACTGATTCTATTTGTAGCTTCCAGTTTTTTTCCTATGTGCAGAATTAGTAAGCTCTGCTGCTTTCGCCTTGCTAACTGTAGTTTTAAAACGGCACTGACTTAATAAGATTAAATATGCTACTTATTCAACTTCTCTGCTTCTAAGGCTACATATTTTTATTTTTATCTTTTGAGCATTCTTGCAGCCAGCTGACTGGCAGTGAGCAGATACAGGTTTGAAACTCTCTGTTCCCTGTTTCTAAGCACATGACCCGGTCAGACAGATGAAGGCTCAGGTGTGCCAGGTTTCAGTCATCTGTCTCACACAAACACTAAAAGAAGAGGAGGGAGCCCACTCTGTAAACACACATGTTCAGAATGTGTGTGTTTTGTGAATGACCTGTGTGTGCGTGTGTGCGTTAAAGGGTGTCTGCATGCCTCCTCCCAGTTACTGCAAGCCTATTTTAAGGAGGCGTCAAAAGGCCCACTTAGATTCGGTTGGCTAGAGAGTCGGCCTGCTCCACAGAGGACTACTTGTTAACTGAGGACAGCCTCCTCCCCTCCGCCTGGATATCCACATGTCCTGCCTCTCAAAGGGCTCAGTCAGCAAATATTTGAAAGTTTGCAACTTAATCATGAGACTGAACACCCCCTAGAACCTTTCCCTCCCACTTTGTCCTTTACAAAAAGGAGAAAAAAAAAGAAAGAGGGAGTGACAGAAACTTGAGACGTGGGTTCAGAGCAGAGCTGAGCGACACCGGAGCAGCTACTGCTAATCATTAACTATCTGCCTCCACACGAGCAGGCCCCAGGCTCACGCCGCTCAGAGAGGGAAACGAGGAGAGGGAGGCTCAGAGCCGGAACTGAACAGTCAGTCAGACTGAGCGGAGCGAGCGAGTGAGTCAGTCACACTCAGCCGGTCGCACGCGGCACCTGCCCCAGAGCCCAGCGGATTATCTGGATTTCATTAAGAAGCGCGCAAAGCCGCAACCTTTTCAAGAAATCAAGCCGGCTATTTCTTCAAACCGGGCAGAGCAAGCTATGACATGGAGCTCTACTGGACAGCCTGAGTTCAGCTCCTTCCTGCTGGATTTAATTTAACCTGTGGATCTGAAAGAGACGCTTCAGAAAACAAAGACTTTTTTTCAAATTTATTTTTTATGCAGCAAGAGATGCACAACTTACAGCGTGAGTTTGAAGAGTGCCCCCCCTATTTGTCTTTTACCCTGCAGGCTTTTACAAAAAAAGAGAGAAACCGGAGTTTAAAACAAACGCAGAAGAAGATGAGTTAGCGTTTGTTTCTTTAATGTTGTCAGCCGGAGCCGTGGGCTCACTAGCCACAGGCAGCTGCTTAGGCTATGACTGCATATGCAACACTGCTTTAACTTTAATGTGCCTTTCCCACCGCACACCGACGCCTCTGGAACCTTCAGATTATTTTTAGATGCGCTGCCTCAAGAGGATCTAAATAATTAAAAATGTAAAAGGACTCTTAAACCTCCCAGCTAAGGAAGTTGCTGGAATGAGATAAGAAAAAAATACCAGTTAGTTTTAACACACAAAAAAAACAAAACTGTAGTTTAATTATTGCTCAGCTATTAGTTCCTATTTTATCCAACACTTTAACTATTTTTTAAAGCTGCCATTCTGTCAGTGTTAACTCTTATTTCTATTTTCATACATGTATTTATTTCTTCTATTTTATTAAGTTTTTTTTTGTTTTTTTTGTGCAGCCTCCCTCATTTCTTTACATAATTTTTGTAAAATCTCCTTAAATCTGGGAAGTATGAAAACCGGCTTTCCCTTGAATCCTTAATTCTCTTCCAGGAGCCGGTTCTATTTTGACTTCACTTAGGAAATCTGGCAGGCTATCTTTGTCACATCGGGTGTCATGCTGCGGGATTACAGGCGTATTTCAGAGCCCTGGGTTAGCTCTGACCTGGACCAGGCATTATAATTCAGCTGCGTACGTGCTGCAGCAGCAGACCTGGCTTTGTCTGCGTGCCAGCAGTGGGAGGGGCCCAGCGTCCGCGCGACACACTTAGGGAGGAGGGGCCGAGCAACCTGCAGGAGAGCAAGTGCACAGGCTCGACAGAGGGAGACGGGGATGCGTGAGGAAAAGCATGAATCGAGCTGCAGGATCTTATCTTCTCCTGCCATCTCTCCTGCTGCTGCTCGCCAAGCTGATTTGCTTTTAAGGCTGGAAGCTGCAGAGTGGAAAATATGATCACGGTCTGCCGGGTTTTTAGAAAATTAACGGGCGTTTAAAAGGGAAAAGTGCTTCTAAAATGACCTCATCCGTCTCAGGAAATAAAAGATGCAGGAGCGCTTGGTGACTGACCCCCCTTTGTGATTGGCTGTGGTGAGTGATGTAACACGTTACCGAGCAGGCTGCCTCTTAATGGCTTTTTTTCAAATCACTGTTTAGCTGCTTGAGCTGTAAAGTGTTAATGTTCCTCCTTGGAGGAAAAAGTAAAAAAAAATGGATGGTGCAGCATGCTTCTGTGTTGGGCCGCTTTCTTATTCTGGGACTGAGAAATTTCCAGTCGTTTCTCGATTAACCGTGGGTTTGGTTGGTAGCACAAAACCATGTGCCGGGGTAGCAACGCTCGGCTGCAATGAAACAGATCAAACAGCTTGTATTTTGTTTGATTTTTATGGCTGAAAGCATCCGAGAAGTTAATCCTGCTATTAGTGTCAAGCGAAGAAATTCTGCAAGGTTGACCGCTGCAGAACCAACTACCTTAGCTTAATCTGTGCTAGCCTCTCTAAAACCACTGGCTTTGACTGTAAAGGTTTATTCGCTGTAGATCCATAGAACAGAATTGGGTTATCCCACATCAAAGCTCAGACTGAAGAGGATCTGTTCGTCAGCTGCTGTAGGTTTAAGGTGGTGAGCCGTGTTTTTTCCACTGATCTCCAGGCATTTGTGCGCATTGTTGTCTCAGAAAGATGCACTCCTGCATTTGCAGCAAGGAATATTTATAGACTGTTTCTTTCTTCAATGAAATTCATTCTGCCTGACTCACGCTCTCTCTCCTCCCGCTGTTGGAGCGTTTCATTATCCCCGTTTGATCAATTGGAGGAAGAAAAAACTAATAAGCCTGCAGAACAATGCTTGATTTATCTCACATGGGTTGATATGTATTTTGTAGTTTTTCAAGCAAAAGTAAAAAAAATTCTTCTATGGCTCCTTTAATGTAAAATAGGAGGATAAAGTATCAAATATTAAAGGTCTCCTTTCTCCCTCTTTTTGTCTAAACAGCTCTACCTCCAAAACCACCCAAACCCACGTCTGTGACTAACAACGGTATGAACAACAACATGGCTCTCCAGGACGCCGAATGGTACTGGGGGGACATCTCTAGGGAGGAAGTCAATGAGAAACTGAGGGACACTGCAGACGGTACGTTTTTGGTGCGGGACGCCTCGACTAAAATGCACGGAGACTACACTCTGACTCTAAGGTGAGTCGATCGTCCTCCTCCTTCACACCTGTCGTTCATTTTCATTTCCTCTTAGGTCCTGCCGGTCGATTTAACCCATCGTCACCTTTTCATTCGTCTGTTTGCTTTACAGGAAAGGAGGCAACAACAAGCTGATTAAGATATTCCACCGGGACGGGAAGTACGGCTTCTCGGATCCTCTGACTTTTAGCTCCGTTGTGGAGCTCATCAACCACTATCGGAACGAGTCCTTGGCTCAGTACAACCCCAAGCTAGACGTCAAGCTGCTTTATCCCGTCTCCAAGCACCAGCAGGTAGGAAGCTGGCTCATGGAGGAGCAGCGTTGCCTTTCAAACAAACCTCCGCTTGTAACCTAACAGCAACTTTCAATCCGTCATCAGGATCAGGTGGTGAAAGAGGACAACATTGAAGCAGTGGGGAGGAAGCTGTGTGAATACCACCAGCAGTACCAGGAGAAGAACAAAGAGTACGACCGTCTGTATGAGGAATACACCAGAACGTCACAGGTGAGAGGCAGCTGCAGTCCAGCCCACAGCAGCAGCTTTTTAGGCCACATTTTGTTCTCTAGTGCTTATTTATCATTGTTCTTACAGGAAATCCAAATGAAACGGACAGCGATAGAAGCCTTCAACGAAACTATAAAGATATTCGAGGAGCAATGTCAGACGCAAGAGCGGTACAGCAAAGAGTATATCGAGAAGTTTAGGAGAGAAGGAAATGACAAGGAGATCCAGAGGTGAGAACGGCTCCCAAACAAGCCGCTTCGACTCCGAAAACCTCCGAAACCGAAAGCATGTTTGAGCTAAATGTTTCCTTCCGTTTCTGCAGAATTATGGGTAACTACGAGAAGTTGAAATCAAGGATTAGCGAAATCGTCGACAGCAAGCGCAGGCTGGAAGAAGACCTGAAGAAACAGGCGGCGGATTACAGAGAGATCGACAAGAGGATGAACAGCATCAAGCCTGACCTCATCCAGCTCCGCAAGACCAGAGACCAGTACCTCATGTGAGTAGAGTCAGCAATCAGAACATGAATCCTCACAGATATGACTCTGTAAACCGTTCATTCTGTTCCTAACATCCCTGCTTTCTGTCCGGCAGGTGGTTGACTCAGAAAGGAGTCCGACAGAAAAAACTCAATGAGTGGCTGGGAATCAAGAACGAGAACACAGAAGAGTAAGCATCAAACCAAACCAAAACTGCACAGTGTTTGTTTTCTTGTTTTTCCACCACCATCACCGCTAACTCTTTGCGACTTCCCGCTCTTTAGTCAATATTCAATGGTTGATGACGATGAGGATCTCCCACATCACGACGAGCGGACCTGGAGGCTGGGCAACATCAATCGGCTCCAGGCCGAGGCTCTGCTCCAAGGAAAGAGAGACGGAACATTCCTGGTCCGGGACAGCAGCAAAGCAGGCTGCTACGCCTGCAGTGTTGTGTATGTATCCACCTCATTACGCCTTATTTAAACGTGAATAGTTGCTCATCTTTATTTTAAAAAGAAACTCTTCAACCATTTTAGCTAGCATACTTTGAGTGTTTGGGAAACATTTATGTTAATGATTAGATATCCAGTTAATGTAGCACAGGTGGTGACGTTTGTCCTCTCTTTGCAGGGTGGAAGGCGAGGTGAAGCACTGCGTCATTAACAAGACCCCCTCGGGCTTTGGCTTTGCAGAGCCGTATAATCTGTACGGCTCTTTGAAAGAACTCGTACTTCACTACCAGCACACGTCTTTGGTCCAGCACAACGACTCACTGAATGTCACGCTAGCGTACCCCGTTTACGCCCAGCAGAGACGGTGAGGACCCGGACGTTTTGGGTTTTTTTTCTTTCTTTTGGCACGGACGGCAAAGATTTACGAGCCTCGCTGGAGCGGGAGACACGCAGTGGACTCCATGATAACTTCTCGATAAATGAGAGAGAAAAAGGCTGCGGATGTGCTCCAACGCCCGGCTCGGACTTGGGAACCGGAGGGGAAAAAAAAAAGGACACCATTAAAAGCCTGAAAACATTTCAGAGACTTTGCCACGAAAAACCTGAGGCGAGTCTGAATGTAGATCTCTTTATTTTTTTCGTGGGGGCACAGAATCCGACGGATCACTGCTGAACTCCCCCCTAGAAGAGAAGGACATTTGAGGCCTTTTCGGTTTTTTTCCCCCCAGTGGTGCTCGCCTGCTTTGGAAGCTTTACCAGCCGGCATGTTCAACCACAGCAGATGAAAATTCTCCGGCCAACACTTCGTTTGTCGGCTTCCCCCTCTCATCATCGACATGCATTTCTTTCTTCCTTTCTTTCTCTACGTGTGTGCGTGCGTTTTTTTTGTTTGTGTGGACTGTCCATGTGACCAAACCCATAGAATCGGGAGACCGTGCGACGTTGGATGGCTGTAAAACATTAGCTTGTGTTATCGGTCCAGCAACAGACCATGGATGAAAATGTAGCAAAAGGGCACTTTTTTTCTTCTTCTTTTTTTTTTATCCATGTAATTTTTTTTGTAATGGTTTGAAAACAACTCTTATGAACTTCTAAGAGAAGCGTAGAGATGGAGAAGCCTGCATCCTGCCTTCTCGTAAAGCATTAAGAGTGCAGAAGCAAACTTGATCTTAAGGGGGGGGTTCAGGTGAAACTATGAATGGACTATTTCATGTACATATGTGAAATTGTGATGAAACAAAGTGCACCATACCAAAAAGGATCAGTTCCTGTTTTAGTTATATTCTGATCAGCTATGCAATTCTTTCTCCATTTGTACTTAAGAATTGTTTAACTGTTGCAACCCACAATATAAGCTTGTTTTATCGCTTGAAAAAGTATCTTTTCCTGTGTAAATATCCAAGAGGATATTCTTGTTTCAGAACGCCAAGCTACCGTACCGACGAAAAGAAAACAAGAAAGCTTACGATTTCTAAAGATAATAATAATAATAATGGTAACATACACTTTATTGTAAATTACTTTAACAGCTGGTATACAGATGGAAAAGATGAGTATTTTCTTGCTTCAAACTAAAGTTCCTCTCAGGCAAAGCCTTTTTTTTTTTTTTGAGCTGCTTCAGTGAAGAGCGTTATGGCGTGCAGTTCTCTGTTTGGAGGAGCACTCGGAGAATTGGGGGGTGGGGGGGGCAGGTTGGGGGTTGTATGACCCATATCACCACCAAAACAGCAGTAGAGATTTATTTTGTTATAAAATAGATATGTTCCCATATGAGAATAGAAGATCAATTTACATTTTACACTTTGTATATTTTTCTGTATCAGAAAATGTTTACATGGGTGGATCAGCTCATTTCAGAAACTAATTTTTCATCGGACGCCGTGTGAAAGTGGCGCAGGTCCTTTTTAAATGATTAAAAATAAATAATAAAAAAAATGGCAACAGCTCAACTACAGTTTCCTTCCTCGTCTTTAATTTAAAGTATCTTTGAGTGAAAAAGGAAAATAAAGGTACACAAGCAAAGCCAAACGATGAAATCTCTGCCACTAGTGACGCATCTGTGGAGCTCCACCTGTAACGTGCATGCTACCATGAGAGCTGTGGAGTTAGATTTAACGTATGAGCTGGGAAAGCAGAATGTGATTGTTTCTATTTTCACCAGAACCACAGAGTTTGATGAATTCCCTCTTTTTGTTGTGTTTTTTTTTTTATACACGCGTCATGCTCGTCCAAACCGGCTAAATCTGTGTACCCTTAAAGGCAGAACTGTTTCAACTATGGTACTACGCAGCTCAGTTCATTAATATTGGACCTTTGCTACGAGTCTAATCTAATTTACCTCACAACAGCTGCTGGCACAAATTTTTTTTTATTGTTTTTCACGATCGCAGACAACATGCATGTATGATTGCTCTGTTTTTTGTTTTGTTTTTTCCTTTTGTGTCCCGCACATGATGATCGGATTGATATTTGCCAGTGTTCCTCCGTTTGGCTTTGAATCTGTATTGGGCTTTGTTAAAACAACAAATAAAACACTTCTTTTTTTTTTTTAAAGAACCCTAAAGACTCCTATTTATTTCCTGAATAAACTTTAGTGTCGATATCAGGGTTTCTATGTTGGGAAAGGCACCTTGGCAGCATTAAAATCAAAGTCTTGTAATAATTACTGCTGAATAAAACCATTTTATTACCATTTATTACAACAGGATTACGTCCCTAGTCTAGGAACTCTGCCTAATTGCTGTTATCTGTTTACTTTTATTTAGTGGTAAATTAATTTCAAGCTTTTTCCAACAACTGGGTTTATTTAGTCATGGATTAAAATATTCAACTAAATCCAATGCATTTTAATTTGAAAGGCTGAATAAACAGGATCGTTTGCAGGATGCACTTCCAACACAATCGAACCTCATCCGTGTCATGCTCTAATCAGCTATTTCTAATATTCTAATATATTATCAACTTTAAGTTTTAAATTTATTTTATTCAGTTGCTGTATTCTTTGGGTTAAAAATACAGATGGTAACCAGGCCAAACTTCAAGGAGAGTGAAACTAACAAGAACCAGGATGGGTTTATCTGAACAGCGTAATTAGTTCAGGGATCAAACATTAATTCTCAAGGGCACCTCCAACTTCTTGATTTAGATCTTTGGAATAAAAGCACATCTAAAGTTGCAGACTAACCCTGGTCTATAATGAGTCATTGTCTTAACTTAGCATGCACTGCTCATGGTTAGGAAATTATTTAACTTTATTTTGGCAGTCCCACAATGATATAAGTAATACATGATGACTTGTACATAAGACTCGGATTAAACCTTTCAGTTTGTTGAATTTTCTCAATTATAACTGGATCAAAATTAGATTAATGCAAACATGAAGCTACCATCTGGCAGATTGGGGTTAAACACCAATATTTTAATTGTTCCCAGCCTCCGTCTTCAGACAGGAAGTGACCCAGCCAGCAGAGTCCTAACTGGATCTTATCTGTGGTGGGAGCTTAACTCCAGGGTAATGGCCTAGGAGGCCTTCCTCTCTCAAACACTCGGAGCTTATCATAGATAAAGCATTAAAACACCATCAGAGACGTGTAAAAGATGGACAGCCAGTGTACCATTGGTTAAATTGCAATAACAGTAAAGTCAACATTATTGCAAGCAATTAAAAAACCAAATAAATCTAGTTTATTACTGAGATGGGTTGAGTGATTAATGGCGTACTATTTTACTTTAAAATAATATGCAAATCTAAATCTGTCTAGGGGTGAATAATTACCCCTGTTCCATCAAGTCAGTTTCAACACACGGTTTCAGTTTTCTGTTTTTTGCAGTATTTAAACGTTTTCTCCCTTAGTGAAAAAAGTTTAACAGGTAGTTGTTCATTCAAACTAATGACTGTCACTCTAAACTGGATAAACTTATTGATTTGATTGTATAACTCATTCTTTTTGGATTTTGAGACATCCACTTTGATCTAATCTGAAATAAATACATGTTCAAAGGGCCCAAAACAAAGTTTTTGATTTCCCTCAATATGTATATATTTATTCATGACCTGCAGCAAAATGTATTTGTTTGAGTCACATGTGAAATGCGCTTTGCACGCAGTCAGAGCATGCGATCAAATCTAACTCCCAGACCGTGAGAGAGCGCCATTTTTGTTGTCGCTGCATCCTGGGTGGATTTCGCCTGTAAATAAATGCAGATAGCAAAGCAGTTGCATATAATCAATGTTATAGCTGGCTAGTTAAATGGAGCCTAGGCGGAAGTTCAACTGAAGAAACTCCTCGCTCTCCTATATCCACCTGCGACATAGCCAATCAGCTTTGAACCACACCTCCACGAAAGCCAATCGGCATCCAAAGTTCATCTTAAAAGGCCTCTGATAGGCAGTGTGAAGTCAAATATTTTAGATGTGACATCATTTTTTATTTATTTTTTTATCTGAGCAAGGTTATACTTTTTCCAGTGGCTGGCATGGAGGATTGTTGTGTGTATAGTTTCAAACATCTGATCTAAACAACAAAGCAAATATGAAAAACAGTATGTTATATGATCCCAAACATCCCAGAAACCACACAAGGCTGAACCCTAGTGTGGATTGGAAAATAGCTGAAGCATGAGCGTTGCCGTCCACAGCGGTTCAAATTACACACCACTATGGACTAAAAACATAGTCCTTTTTTCAAACACCAACACCTTAAAGATTAGTTGAAATGTGCAGCTGCAACAAAGAACCTTAACCCTTTATAGGGCACTCAGTGAAATACTTTGAAAATCAACGTTTCAAGCCAATAGTGTTATTGGAACCAGTCTTGGAACAAGACCTTTTTACTTTTGTTTGGATTTTTTGATGGCAAAAATTAATGTCAGTGTAATAACAAGAAACTGCAACTTCCCGAATATATTAAGAAATTCATTAAAAACACTCTGAGAGTGAAAGAAACACATTTTTTTTGGTACAACATAGCCTTAGAGGCAATAATGCTGATACTGGCACTTACATTTTTTAGTTTATAAACCTAAATATAATAGTTAACTAGGCTTATTAACCCTTTTTTCTTAACTTGATAACGTATTTTTCAACTTAATTTCACCTAACAGACATGTTTTTGGGCTGTGGGAGTAAGCCGGAGTACCCAGAGAGAACCCCCGCATGCATAGGGAGAACATGAAAACCCCATACAGAAAGACCCCACACCGGGAATCAAACCTGAACCTTCTTGCTGCAAGGCAACAGTGCTATCCACTGCTCGACTGAGCATTTAATTTTTTACCTTTTTATTCTTAACTTTTGATTTCTAACTTAATTTACAGGGCTCATATAATGGGTCAAATGCCAAAATAAGATGTACAGCCATCCTTGTCGAATGGCTGGATATAGATCTTTTGCTTCTAGACCTCACTGAGGGACGCAAGTGATCAAAAACGCTACAGTAACTTGCCCTATAAAGGGTAAAGGAAAATACGTGTTACAGGCAGAAATATCTTTGATGTGTTGAAGAGAGTCGACATTTCCGCAGCTTTTATACATTGCGTATGTTCAAGTATCTAACCCTATAGCTATGAAGATCCTATGAAAATTCTTGTGCAACAAGTTACCTTCAGAAGTCACATGATTATTTAACGGAGGTCAACCTGTGTTTTATCAAAGTTTCACAGGAACTTTCAGTATCTTTTCTAAAAGGCTCCAGAAACTGAAACACCGCTAAGCAAGAGGGATCACATCATGACGACCAGGGACCTCAATAGACGAGTTACGATGATCTTTGGTCTTCAAATGGAAAGTACATGAAACCACAACAAACCTGGCAAGAGAGCGCTGCCCACCGAAACTCAATGACTGGGCAAGGGGAGCATAATTAGAGAGGAAGCACAGAGTCCAAAGGCAACTTTGAGAGACTTTGCAGAGTTTCACAGCAGATAGAGAATCTGTCCATAGGACCACAATAAGATGTACACTACATAAAGGGGTGCTTCATTTTGGACATAATAAAGCTGTTGCTTGGCATTACAAATAAGCATGCCTGTTTATGATTTGCCAAAAGGCACGTGGGCAGCTCTCCAAATATACAGAGGGAGGGGCTGTGGTCAGATGAGCAAACCTGCCACATCCAGTCAATCCAGGAACATCACAGTGGAACATGGTGGTGGCAGCGTCATGTTGTTCTGATATTTTTTGAACATCTGTCCTGATCTTAATCAGTCCGCTCAATATAGACTGCCCTGGAACAAGCTGCACTTTATGTAAATACTACATTTCCATGAACGTGTTTTCATTTTAAGGAAATATGGCATCTTCTAAAAGGGTTCCATTTTCTCCCTCTAATGGTATTTTATATTTCATTTTTCTGTGGGTATTTTATTTTTCCTATGAGTGTCTTGCTCACCTTTTCTTCAATTGCTTTTAAAACCTGCATTCTATTTTGCACAAAAAGAGAGTTTTTAACTCAATACTCTGGAATTTGAACCTTTGCCTTATTTTTTTCTTACTTTTGGTACCAGCACAGTGGAGATTTACAAATATTCATCGGTTCACAAACCAGTTTTCCGGCAGTGAAGGATGCCTATCCCTCACGTTGCGAAACATACCATAACTAGCATACCTGATGTACTTGGAACCAGCACAGTGTTGCCTTTGTGAACATGAATAGTAACACTGGAAGTTGTCAGTTTGGGGATTTTTTTTACATTTTTTTTATGAGATTATCTGAAAAGTGCCAAGAAACGTCATCGTTAGTGGTGGAAAGTTACCTTGACTGCTCATGGAATTATTTTAGAGGTTCCTGCGCATGTGTAGAATACAAAATCCATTTCTATACAGTTATGGAAGACTTTTTGTTAGTTTCACACATATAATATAAATTAAATAAAGTATGCAGGAAAAAATTTGATAACCTGAGTAGGTACCAGGTACCAGATTATTTTATGTAAATCTATTATTACTGAA